GATGATGATGATGATGATGATGATGATGATGATGATGATAATAATAATAATAATAATATTTTTCCATCCTCAGTGGCAAATAAAGGTTTGCTGTGATTTTTACACAGGCACAATTTCCTCATACATGGGGCAAAATAATTTTACCCTGAATGTGATCGTAGTGATGGCTATGCCATGCCCTCCTCTGTAGCCAGAAATGAACAGCCCCAAAACTTCCATTCGCAAATAACAATAATATGTTTAATTGCATAATTATATATCTACCTACAATAAGTATTAATAAAATAAACCTAGTTAATAATTTATCGTTCTTCCAGTTCTTTCAGCAGCTCGTCAAAATGAGTGATGTACCACTTTGCTTTTTCCTTTACTTGTTTCCGTATAACATTGCCTCCAAAGCCGATGAAACCGTCCTGGGGAAACAGAAACAGACAAGCTGAGGGTTGTTCTTCCTCCCCCAAAAGACCATCTCAGAGTTCACAAGTCATGGCCAAAATGGAAAGGTGTCCTCACCCTCTGGTAGCAACCTGAACTAAGGCTACAGAAAAAGCAACACTTCTGAACTGCAAAACTGAATGTTTAAGTTTTACCAGCTGCCCCTAGGCCTGGAGAGTTAGATAATTTAGGAATATGGATGTCTGAGAGAATGAAGGTATTTATTAATAGTCAGGTGAATTCTTCAAACACTTGCAGAATTCCTGCCTTTCTGTCTTGGTGCTTCCTGTGGTTAGACATTGTAGAAGGAGAACCGTGTTAGTCTGTAGTGACCAAAAATGAGAAGGTGTTAGTTTCGACTAACTAATTTTATTAAAGTGTATGCCTTTTAATAAAACGTGTTAGTCGGAAAAGGTGCTACCAAACTCCTTTGGATTTTTTTTGCCTTTCTTTCTGTATCTTTTTTCCTTAGCTGCCCTGCACCAGCACTAAATCCTTTAGAGGGAATGATTCTGAAATAACTTCTTTTGGCTAGCCTAGCACCATCTCTTTCCTACCCAGGAGCCACTGCATTGCCCTCTATTTTGTCATCCACATGATCTGATAAAGGAGAAATAATTGCTTTTAAATGTTGTCAAGCAGGCCAATGGCCATGAACTGCACAAGGATTTTGCTTCTGAATGCCAAGTCTAAATGTTCTGATTGTCTCCATGACCTATTCATCGTGATTTGCCTCCCCTCCCGTGGAAGATATGAAAAGAAATTATTAACAATGGGTGATAATCATTAACCAGAAATGAGAATCATGCCTGGTTTCTTATGGAGAAGTATGTACGGAAGATGGATTTTTTTTAAGAGTCCCCTTTTTCATCTATGTATGCTTTGGGGGTTCATTTTCTCTGAGACTGTAAATGGTGTGTAGCTTTTGCACTGTAATATGTAAATTAAGTTGCTTTTGAAATGCTAAGGTTTGGAAAGTATAAGTGAATCTCTCTGGGGAGAGAGAGCTGAAAGGAAGACAGATGAATCTGTGTTTTGGCAGGAGACTAGACTAGGCAGCTTTTCTACAGTATATGCTAGGCAAATCTGCTGGCTATGGTAGACCAAGGGGGTTTATTGGATTTAAACAGGGGGCCAAGAAAGCTCCCCAGCTGACTTTTGGTCAGTCTCATTCTCTGACACACACTTAGCCTGTCCCAGACTCACAGGGTTGCTGTGGGGATAAAATCAGGGAAACTCAGCACAGACTACCCTAGACTAACAGGAGGAAGGGAAAATAAAAATGAAATTGTAGTTGGACCGTCCATGTCCATTTTGATACTCACTGCTGGAGGACAGGCTTCCATATCTGTTGCTCCATCTCCAATCATAACCACTTTCTTAAATTGAAACTGTTCTTTCAAGTAACTGATGACTTGTCCTTTGCCACCTGACTCAGCTGTTGGCTGTGTCTCATCAAAACCGGCGTATTCTCCTAAATAAACCACACAAAAGGAAACCCTTGACTGACCATCCCAAACTGCCAGGGAGAATTTCAAGGAGGTTAGAAGTCTGAGAAAGGGAGAGGAAATGTCCTTAGAGAATGAGGGCGGCCGTGATTGTCGGAATTCCAATATAAAAGTTTCAAGCCTGGGAAATACATTCTCTGGTGTAGAAATCTATCTTATTTTTATTTACAGTTACATTTATATCCTGCCTTTTCATTCAGGAGATCAAGGTTGTGTACATTGCACCACAACATCAGTCCTGTAAGGTAAGCTGGGCTGAGAGAGAATGACTGGCTTAAAGTCACCCAGAAAGCTTCTGGGGCTGAAGGTGGTCTAGAACCTGTGTCTCCCTAGTGCCATTCTGATATCTTAAGCATTGTACCACCTTGATTCTGATCTATCTGTCTTGATAATCCTAGGGCATGAATCTGGCTCTTTATGTACTTTTGTTCTGAAGATGAAGAAACCAGTGCTTCTATATGTTCAGGGGCTCAGATGTCTATTGTTAGCTCATCAATCCCAAAACTCAATCCTGAAATTAAAAACAGGTCCCAAACACTTTAGCTTCTAATTCCATCATTTGAGTCCTTTGGGAAATTACTGTTCCCCACTTTTTCTCTACATACAGACTCCCCACCCTTTTCTACATGCAAAAAAGGTCAGAGAAGCCAGTAGAAGAATTCCAATCTTCCACATTTGCTCATATTTCTCCCTCTGACAATACAGAGTGATTTTTCTAAAGCCAAGTACCACACACTTGAGTGACCCTGTTTATTTCAATGTTCCAGATAAGCTGAGGCTGGTTGGAAATCTGTAATATCAGTGGGATATCACTAGCAGGATATCTTAACCTTGAAGTTGTGTGTTTTATTAGCCGGTGGATAAGAGACCCTGCTGATCTCTCTATAAACATACTGACCTCAGCAACTTCACCCCTTGCTCCTTCCGTGTGCCAAACCAAAGTATTAAATCTTAACCTTTGGAAGGAGTTGTTCATTTTGCATAAGCTGGGCAACTTATGTTTCATAACTGGAACACCAGTTGGAAGGCCTAATTCTTTAAACAGGGATACACAACCACTTATTGTCTAAGGGTTTCACCTCAACTTGTTTTCCCAGTTGAGGGTCAATTCAAGCAACAAATGGGATGGGGCTATGACCAAAAAAAAAAAGGTTAAACGAATCAAAATGGTCCAGAGGGGAACAGGTTTAGAAAGCCCTTTTTACAAGAACAGGCTAAAATCACTATGATTTAGGGGGACAAAGATTTAGTAAGAATCACAGTTGTTTACAGATTATTATCTATGATGGTGGAACAGAACTACTAAGTCAAAATGCCATTGAATCCCAATTGATGGGAAAGCAAACAGATGAAGATACAAACAGCCAGGGACCTGTTGCCTCCATGCTAAGCTTATGGCTTGTTGGCTTCTTTGGGAAGCAGGAAGTTGGACTAGATCAGTCTTCCCCTTCTTTAGTCTTCCAGACTACAACTCCCAGAATTCTCAGACACATGATCAGGTTAGGCACAGCTAGAATAATGGACTTTTAGCAGTGCTTATGTTCTAAAAAGTACATAGAGCCCATAACTGCCAATCCAGAAACTTGAGAAGCTTAAGGCAGGGTTCCTCAACCTTGGTAACTTGAAGATGCGTGGACATCAACTCATCTTAAAGTTGCCAAGGTTGAGAAACACTGCACTAGAAGATCTGTAAGAAATGTGCAAACCTTGGTTCATTGTGTGAATTGGTAATGAGACTTGTCATCTGGCTTGTCAAGGCCCAGGTAGAGGTTTAATTACCTTTCCCTCAGAAAAGGTCCTCTCTGAATGGAGTGCATAGGCATTACTTTGAATCATGTGTGTGAGAAAGGAGTAGCCATTTTCTTCATGCACAGATGAAAATGGAGTGATCTGCCAGTGAGGAAGTGCTAGAGTGTGGGTATGACACATACCTCAATCTGAAACAGGTTCCCACTTCTAATCTAAGTTTTACAGTTTGGAAGTTTAATTTCCAATAGAAATGTATCATCTGGCCATACAGTAATGTATTAGGATGTCATTATTCTCCTGAGTTCCAAACCAAGAAAGAAAGTTCTTTCTTGTGGGAAGTCATTAAGAAAGCACTTCTGCTCATGAGAGGGAATATGGTGCAGTGGTTAAGATACTGGAGTAGGAGTGGGGGGACCCAGATTCAAGTTCATCCTCAGTTTTGGAAGCTCCCTGGGTAACTTTGGGCCAGTCTCTCTCTCTCTCAGCCCAACTTACTTCACAAGGTGGTTGTTGGGGGGAAATTTGATCTTGTGCTTAGAAGTACAAACAAACACCTACTAAATGTAAATTCAACAATGAAGGAAGAAATTATTTAGTCTTGTATGGAATAAACTGCCACATTGATCAGGTAGCCTTCATATAATTCCTATATATTTCATTTTTTTCTGAAAACAACAGATTTTGATCTTCCTTTGCTACAGAATTGAAATGTTCTGTAATTCTGTTTAAAAGCTTAACACTCCATACGGATATAATAATTATTTGTGGTCCCTATGGAAGTCAACAACCTTATCAGTTCTGAGTTCAAACATATGGAAAATCTTACCATTAAAGTAGAACTTCAATCTGTTGGCAAAGACATTTGCTGTTGGAATGTTTAGTTGCAAGGCGACATGTTCAACAATGCTCTGAAACCCTCCAGAAATTAAGAAGACTTGGACACCTCGCTGGTGGAGCCGGTTGATGAGTTCTCTTTAAGGAAAAAATAGAGGGCATAAGGTCAGGGGAAAGAAACCAATAGTGTACATTCAAACAGGTTTTTGTTCACTATCTGCATTATCACCATTCACACAACAGACACAAAGTGAGCAAGAGAGGTCCCAAGGGACCTTAGGGGTCACAAGCCAGGCTCCAGCAATAATGTTTAAATCAATGAAAGGTACATTGGGCACAGAGAAATAAGAGTTCCTCATAGATCTTCCTTCAGAATAACCTTCCCTAACCTAATACCCTTCCTATAAATTGTATTTCAACTTGCATAATCCCTAGCCAGCATGACAAAAGATTGTACAGTACTTGGTTGTGAATTGTGAAATTGAAAACTAAGACATCTGGAGTGTATGAAATTTATAAGATGTCTCTATGGCAGCTTACATTCAGGCATGGCTTCCTGATGTTGTTCACATATCTATGCAGAAAGCCAGACAAATGCTGTGTGTTAATTCACTGATATAGAGCACAGTTTAGTTTCTCCTAGGAAAATGTTCTCATAGGCAGAGGAAGGGATATTGGTGGATCAGAGGTGGAGTTTTAAAACAACAGAGAGATCTTAGGAAGGAGAACTGGAGGGAGAGCTAAAATGGAGGAGATGTAATGACTGGCACACCCTAAAATGAACCTAGACAGGGCTGCTGCTGAAAATGGGTGATTTAATAAAGACAAATGTTGGCTGGTGATCTGAGATGGACTAAACAGTTTTGATCTACATCAGGAATGTTAATTCAATAAAAGGTCAGGCCAAGACTCTCAGAAACAGAGCATGGCATAATCCAGGAGAAAGGCATTAAAGATTAGGGGCTGGCATGGAACGTAATCTACCTGGTGCAAAGATCTCTAGGGGAGCCAGAAAACCAAGATGGGAGAAACCAAGTTTTACCAGCTAGACACAGAGTCAAGGCCAGTTTGAAAGAGGGAGAGTGTGGCCATTATCTTTAGCCCTTTTCTCAATTCTATATAGAGGGAATGCTGGTTAGTTAGTTTATTTAAGTATTTATTTATTCATTTATTTATTTATTAAAGACTGTCCCACTCACATCAATAAAAAACTAGAAAAATTAATAAACTGCAAAAGCAATATAACAAAACATAATTAATACATAGCTGAGACTGGGCATAGGAAATGCTCACTTTCACAACAGAACTGGCTAATCTACCATCTTGGTCCGGTGCATGGGGAAAAACCAAGGTCTTCACAGCTCTATGAAAGGATAAAGGTCAGAGCCACCCACACTTCAGGGGGAGCTTGTTCCAAAGGACAGGTGCAGCAACAGAGAAGGCATGCCCTTTTAGATGACACTGCTTCAAACAAAGGACTTGGAGCATGTCCACCTTGTGTATACTTGTGGGACTACAACAACAAGTATTACAAGAGATAGGTGGTCTTGAACATAATTCAGCCCTGTCCTATGTACGGTTTTATGGATGATAACTAACATTTTAAATCATACCCAGGAGCCTACCAGGAGCCACTGCAATTCGCAGAGCAGTCGTGTTACACAGGCATATCAACAGGCATCTATTTCTGCCTGCACTGATGCACCCTGGACCAGTTGCAGCTTCTGGATACTCTTCAAAGAAAGTCATCTGTAGAGCACACTGCAGAAATCCAACTGGGAGGTAACTAAGGCATGAGCAACCATGAGCAGGGCCTCCTGATCTAGAAATGGGGGCAATTCATGCACAAGATGCAGTCGTGCAAAGGCCTTCCTGATAGGGTCCAGAGCTGTGAGTCCAGGAGGAACCCAAATCGTTCTCTGAGTCAGGGAATGCAGTTACATCCAGAACCAAAGATGGAAAATCCCCAGATCAGAATCCAAATTCCATATTATAGCTTGAAAACAAGCAGTTAAAGAAAAGTTAGGCTGCAGTCTTGAGTACAGGAAAAAATAGTTTTGTTGCAATGGCTTTTAATCTCAAGTGGCAATGGGCAGGAGAAAGGAGGGGGAGCAGAGATGACCTTGCCTGAATTCAAAAGCAGTTTGCATGCTTTGATGGGTTATCTTAAAAAATGGGAAATAAAACAAAAAAAATCCAACTCAAATGTCCAAGTCCTTTGTTGTACTGTGTCTTTCATAAAATCCTGCGAACACACAGGAAGTCACTTGTATAATGAGATGGGCGGCATACAAGTTTGATTTATAAATAAATAAGTGCCTGTGAAAAGCCCATGGGAAAAATATGTCTTGGGAATCCTGCACAACACAACCATTCCTAATATATATCTTACCTTATTCCTGGTGTTAATTGGGGTGGATGCTCTGATATTAGTTTCTGCACTTGTTCGTAAGAAGGTCGTATGAGGCCTAGCCGTGCAGTTAAAGCTGCCTTGAACGTTACTGAACCTCCCATAGCTCTGCGAGTCCTAAATTGAGATTCAGAGAAATTCATATCAGGCTTTTAAGGAGAGCAGAAGAACCTCCTGAGGTGCTCCAATACACAAACTTGATAAACTAGAATAATACATTGTGGAAATCCACTGAAAATTCACTCCGTGATCCATTGTTATAAGAACATAAGGGCTCCCTATTGTATGAAATCATACTATCTAGGGCGGTCTGTTTCCCAAAGGGGCCAAATATCTGCTTCTGGAAACCATAAACAGGACTACTGACTTTTTCAAGCTGCTGTTCAAAGCTAGGACCTGGTGTTAACTAATGCTAAGCTGTTGTTGTTGTTGTTTTCTGGGCCAAATAACACTTTGGATGAATAGATTTCTGTGCATGTTCCTCAGTTCCACTCGCCTGAAGCTGCTATTTCAGTGTTAAAAACTACACATATTCACTGCAAACACAGAATGAACGGCATTTCTAGTTTGGTCCTTAGTGGTTTTTAAAGGAAACACATTCATGGAGGAGGTTGCTAAATGAACCTGTCATTTAAGAGGCTCAGTGGAAATTTACATGTAGGAATCTTGTAGGGCAGAGGGGAGTTCATATAGAAATAAAGTGTCTTGCTTCCCTTTGTCCTGTTTGTCACTTTCCAGCCATTCACTGTTAGATAGGAAAAAGCTGGGCTACACAACTTTGTTCATAGACTATTTGTATCTTAAGTTCTTATGATTATGCTGCATAATTGTGTCTAATACCTGGGAAATGCCCTGTGTTTTTGTACCACAACTGTGTTGAATACTTTCTCAACTACACCCCATGCAGGCAGGCATTTCTTTCATTATTTAAAAGAATTACAGGAACTTGCACAGCTGGTTTAACTAGAAATAGCAAGAGGACAGTGAAAAAATACACAGGTACCAGAGGTAATAACAGCTGTGCAGCTGTGGCCAGCAACTACTTTGAACAGGCATGAAGGATGACCAGCTACAAGAGCTTCACATCCATTGTCAATTCATACTATGTTCTGGCTTGGGCAACCAGAGGATCCAACAGAATCTCTCAGAGTTTAGGTTTGGTCCTGGAGATGCCAGATGTTGACCTTTCCTTTACAACATAGCTATTCTAAAAGTTTATCATTGATGTGTAGCCCTGGTTCTAAATTGTACAGTAAAGTCATGCCAGAGACACTCAAAGATCCATTGTCCCAGTCCAAAACATAAACATGGCATTATAGAAATAACTCATCTTACAGGAGGCTGAATTGAATCTCTCATGATAGCAACTATAGTATCACAAAACCTCAAATTCACACATGAATGTTATACTTAAGGCATCAGGTGTAAAGGCCTTGGATTGACAATGAAATTGTACAAGCACTTTTTTTCCCATCACAGAGTCTTTTCATCTTTGTGTGTGCAGACTCTGTGAGAATTTTCTCTGCATTACTCAGTGAAATGCCAAAGCAAGCAAAAGCACAGGCAAACTTTGGAGTCACATAGTACCCTTTATAAGTCAAACTGCAGAGATGCAAAAGACAGAGCCTGCTGCATTACTAAAGGTCTTAAGATATTAGAGACAAAAGCTAGCAGGGTTCTAGCTGTGCCATGAAGCACCTTTCCAATCTGCTCAATAAGATAGTAGGTGAATCCAAGAGGGGTACATGTTGCCATATCAGTACATTTAAAGCAGTGGTTTAATCCAATAAAAGATAAGCAAGCTGCCTTGTTTAATTTTCCTGCCTTCCATCAAGGAGACTCTATCATCTCTTTCAAAGTTTAGTGCCGAATTGGTTTCTCAAGCAAGAAATAGTCCTGATATGCATATGCTTGTTAGATGCTTGCTGAGAATTCTGTGCTCAAGAAGCCTCATTAGAGGACTTGGTACATGATCTGACCAGACATGATAAAACTAAGCAGCTCTCATCCAGGGCCTAAGATGGGCAACAAAGAGCCCCAAACATTAAACATATAAGTTTAATATGATTAAATTTAATACAAATTAAATAAAAATATATGGAATATAGCCTCCATAAACAGATGTTCACTAGGCAGCTTTTTCAGACTCCTGCAAGATTTGCCCAAACTGCTCTGATACCCGCCACAGCAGAGCATCAGACCCTGAATAGCTGAAGAGGCTCCATTCCTACAAGGATGCATTAAGGCAAGGCAACTAATGCTATTATCTCATGGTGATGACACAGGCTTGCACATTTTTATAAAAATTTCCTTAAAAATGGCTCATATTAATACATTCTTATTAGCCTTTACCATACACCCCGGTTCATCTGTGGCTCATTGATCATCTGAAAGTAAATCCTTGTATGTATAGAGGGGAACACTCAATTATCTTTCAGTTGATCAGTCAGTTGCCATCACATACAGCCCAGTGGCTTTGGACTTCTCAGATTCAGCCCAAAGACACTGAACACCAGACTGTTTGGGAGAACAAATCTCCACATCTGCTCTTTCTTCTCAGAAGAATCAAGCAAGCCATGACCATACTTACATTTCTGCTACTGCATCTCCAACACCACAGAATTTTGCCAGTTCATCAATGCCCTCTTCTTTAATGACTGTGCTGTCCACATCAAAGCAAACAGCGTCAGCATTGAGGAAGATTTCCTTCATCTCCATGACAGAAGACATCCTTTTGGGGACCTTCCTGTTATGTGAAAGAAAGATAAAGTCATTCTGGAGGTCGCCCTGTACCCTGAGTTGGGCCATCTTAGAAGCAGGTCTGTGGCTGAAAGCCCTGTGTTGAGAGGAGACAGCTAATGCCGCAGCTCCTTTTTGAGCAGGAGCAGGGAGTGGAGGAGGAGGTTAGAGGAAGCTGCTGATTTGCTGGCTTCAGGGCAGCAGAGAAATGGGCAGACAGTCAAGGTTGGCACCCCTGCTGAGTTAACCATTCCTAAAGCTTCTCATTGATACAGTCCATCTGAGATTGGGCACACGCAGACTTTACTAAAGAGAAGGATTTTTCCTCCAGGAGTGGCCATCTATCTTGCTCTTTGCTATAAAAAAAAATCCACAAAATGAATGTTACCTCTTGAATAAAAATAATCACCTCCAGTGATGGTTTTAATCAAAGTATCTCCTCCATATATACAGACTTGCTCCCTCTCAATGGCACCATCAATTGGTATTCAGAGTTCTTGACATAAATACAGTGAAACACTAAAAAAATCCACCTTAAATTGGATCGAAGGGAAAGGAAATAATCATTGTTGATATCCCAGGAAATGAAAGCAGAGTCTTAAAGTTTAAACCAAAGAACAAGAGGATAGTGAAAAAGGAGGTGTTAAAAGTATAATAGTGAGGAAGAAGAACCAGCACCATGAGGAAAAAGTAAGGGTTTTTCTTCAGCAACTAGGATGGGACATTACTGTATATAGTAATAGTAAATAATTGGATCAAGATTGGATCCATGGGGGAAAGTCCTGAAGATGCACTCAGTCATAAGAATGGGAACTATACAAGATCCCCAAGGGGGCATTTTCTGTCTCACACCTCTCAAGTTTTGGATCAACTTTACAAGGCCTGGTCATTAGTGAGTTGAACTGTAGTGAAGAACTCTAAAAGCCATTGGATGGGAGCAAAATGATACAGAAAAATCTAACTTTTTGCTGTCTTCATTCAGACTTTTGCAGCCCAGATATGGTAACCCTACTTCTTACAAAAAGAGATGTGGACTCCAGAATAAGTGGCTCAAGGGGCCCATCCAGACAGCTTGTTTAATGTACTTTCCTCCAGTATGTAAAGTGGCAAGAAGTATAAATTTGCTCTGTCCCCTTAGCTAATCTCCTATATACATAGTGAGAATTTCCTAAGTGAAGAGAAAGTGAGAGCTTTTCATCAGACAAGATGGTCAAGAAAAAAAAGTAGAGAAAAAAAAAGTGACTGATTTTGGAATTATCTGTTGGTTTCATCGTTGGACAAAGAAGGGACAACAAGCCTCCAAATATGCAAATTGGGACCTTTCATATGCCTGAGTGAATAGTATTGTCTCCTTGTTGTGAAAAATTGCCCCGCCCCCTTTCCCCCAAATATGAACTACTAATTATTTTCTACATGGTTCTTAAGGCATGTAGGCTGAGGCAACCACAGATGCCTGATCATTCCTGCTGGCCAATTCAAAGTGGCAATGGAGGGAGATGCTGGCAACTGGAGGGGAAGGCTCCAGTCTGCAGCAGCTGCAAGCAGCCAATAGGAGCTGGACAGATCCTGGCCCCTGCCAAGTCATCACCATTAATTGTCATTAATGTGCCACAAATTGTGCACATAGCAAGGCTTACATCAGGAGAGGACGGGGAACACCACTTGCACATCAGATTAGATTAAAGCAAAGTTAGATGGCCTCATGAATGGGCTAGAGGTGAAAAGAAGGACAGGTCCTTAAAGAACAGTTAACAAAGCATCTTCCAACCAGTTAGGAGGGTCATGAGGAAGTGCCCAAACTTAGCTTGTACCTGAGAACAATTTTAGAGGTTTCCATTGCCTTTTGTTTCACAATACCCTGGCATAATGATATTTTAAAATATAACCATAGACTAGCTTTTGTATCAGTAATGGTGATGGCTAAATGTAAAGAATCCTACACATTAAGACAACACAGTCTACAGGTCCCACTACTTCCTGGTAGGATATTAAGGCTGTTTACTTAAAGCTTGTGGTTTGGATGTGGTCAGAATCTGAGAAGAGGCAGTTATGCTAACAGGACAGGCTCTAGGAAAGTGTTGAGAAAGTGGAGCTTCACATTTGCTCAGTAGCAGCCTTGACTTGTTGATGGCTTCCAAATTGCCTGTTTGTTCTAAGCCAGAGAAGGCAGAAGAGAGAGCTTTGACTCTGGGGCAGGGTTGGAACACCATGCAAGATGACGCATTGTTGCACAATGCCATGAAAAAGGCACGTGCTCACAGCTTTGGAGTGCATCCAGCTGTTTTTTTCCATGCACTGTGAAAGGATAAACATCCAACCAGAATTCAATCTCATGTCACTTGGCCAATTTTGACAGGGACATCCTGCCAGCCTGCACCAAGCTGCCTGCGTCACCATGTCTCACAATCATGATGTAATATCTGCTGATCAAGGCTGGACTGCAACAGGCCTATTTGGTGATAAAGGAGAAGATGTGCTTGCCATGCAATGACATTTTACCGGTTCACATTGGTATTTGGGGAGAAGCTTTATAAACATAAATTGGATCATTCCTGGAAAAAAAAGATCCACTTAAGGAAACTAATCAAATTCTTTTCAGCAGATATTATTATATTTTTTAAAAATGAAAATTCTAATAAGAATAAACAAAGGGTAGGCAACCTTTTAAGACCTCAGATTAATTTTTTTTTAACTGCTGAAATTTTGAGAGATCACTAGATTTGGCATCCTCATTTGAAATCTCCCAAAATGCATGTAAGTATGCAAAATCTCGTAAGATCTGGCAACTGTATAAGATTGTGACTATCTTTAATTTTCATTATTACAAACCTTATTTAAAGCTGGAGTTCTGTAGATGCTATCTAGGGGAGCTGTGGGTATCTTGCCACTCAAAACTGCCATCTTGCAAAAGCCTGGCATAATCAGGTAGGACCTCCCCACCACTGCTTTTTTTTAGGATTTCTGTGAGGTACTGAATGCTGACCTAAAAAGTGAACACGGCTATTTGTCAGTTCCCTTTTTTCTAACCAAAATTATACAGAAATTTCAAAACAGCTTACCACTAAAATGCAGTAGTAGATGTTAACAGAGGTCCAAGCCAAAGTTTCCCTACCAGATGGGCTAACTTTGGACATTAGAAGCTTTTCAGACCCTCTAGGGAAGGGAGCACTTTTGTAGCATGGCTGTTACAAAAAAGGGAGGTATGGCAAATGGATGTGCCAGAATACCTAGCCCAACTGCACCTGAAGGTGGGGAAATTTACCAAAGTTGCCCAAGAATGAAACTTTGTGGAAATTTGAAACATGCCAGTGCTGGCTTGCTGTTGTTCCTGTGTGAGCAGTTGATGTGGGAAATGGGGAATACTTAATGATATCTGCAGGGGGTTGGATTTGGAGTTAGATCCCCCCTTTATTTGGTTGGGAGGTTGTTAACCCTTTTATAGGTGTACAAACCTAGCAGATACATAACACATCTATTCTGCAGGAACCTGATAGGAAATTGCAGGGATTTATTTGGTGGTTTGAGACTGTTCAGCAGTACAATCTTGGTTGGTCTCTACAGTGTCCCAAAAAAGGGGTTTCAAAGGCTGCATACCTACCCTTGGCACAAGCCATGGTCCATATACATTCTGAGGGACATAATACAATTAAATTGAGAGAGCAAGCTTTAGGAAATGTCTTTCCTCACCAGTAGGACCAGCACGAGGAATGCTTGAGGCTACTTTACTTTTGTATATCCATTCTCTCTTACATGATTGAGCTCATGGCAGCAAGCAGTGGGGCTTCCAGGCAGGCTCCCCTCCAGGCTTGGGTCAGGCCTCTTCGGATCATCTCCCAGTCAGGGATAAGATCTTGCACCGCAGAGGCTGGGACTTTAAGAAATCTAAAAGCCAAGTCCTCCTTATTTTAGGAATGTACACTCTTTTGGAACGACAATGCAAATGATGTTGTTTTCATACAAACTGATTATACAGAAGAATGTATGCAAATTCAGCCCCTTATTCTTGGGCATGCTTGCCTACAGGAGGTATGCAAATAACTATTTACAGGTCTTGATCTTGATCTCTGGAAAAACTCCCACTTCTCTGATTCTGAGATTTTGCCACAATTTAAATGAAACTTCATAAGCTCCACTGCAGCTACATTCCAAATGTAGTTCATATTATTGTTTGAAAGTATTTTTTTTAAGATAAATTAGTAAAATGAGGCAAATTCCACAAAAGTGTCTAATAACAGAGCTGCAATCTTATGCAGTACACACATTTACCTGGACTTAGTAGTACTGCACTCAGATAGGCTCATCTCTGCATTGGCATTTATGGGACTGCAGCATAAGGCTCATAAAATCAATGCAACAAGTTCACACTAGCTAAAAAGAGAAAGAAAATCCTCCAACTATTTAACATGCAGAACTCTTCTCAGAAGTTCAGTGGGTCATAGGGAGATTTCAGATGAAGCTTTTATTATAATTGCCCTGCTTCATTCATAGGATTTTCAGAAGAGATCCAGATGTTATTACCCCTATTCATAACTTTCCCATAGGTTTTCACCATTTCTTCTATCATTTTTCTCATCAGAAAAAAAACCCAAACAAACAACAGCAACTGTTATTAAATTTAGGTAAATATGCGAGGGGACTGCAACTATGGGCTCCCACACTACCCATATCTGAAGGGATAAATCCCAAGTAATGTGCATGGCACGGCAGCTGAAAAGTATACTTTAAAGTTTGAGTGCCTTTAAGGAGTATATACATTTTAAATTGTAGAGTTTGTCACTCTTCCTTTCATGGTGAGCTTCAAAGGTAGCAGAAAGGGCAACACTTTTGTTTAAGGCTCCTTCAAGTGGCTACTATTTACAAAATAACAAGCAGTTATATAACACATAGCTTGGAGTTTTGTTACAAAGAATGACTAACAGCTGTGTTCATAAAATATGCAAAGTCATGGTCTGCTTGATCATTGCTTACTAAATAAACTACAATTGGCTCATGGGCAATAAGCTAAGCTATATATCATAGTTTATAAACCACTACCCCTAACCAAATACTCGCGACCACTCCTTCGCACAGCTGCTTCGTTTGCTGCGGTTCTGCCATTCCAGCAGATGGGGGGGGAGGTCAGA